TTGAATGACACTGTGAATGTCTCAAGCTATGAGAATGTCTGCTTTATTTTATGTTTTGTTTTGTTTTTCGAGACTGGGTATCATTGTGTAGCTCAGGCTGGACTTGAACTCACTTCAGGTTCCCTGGAACTCATGGCGATCCTCCTGCCTCAGCCTCCTGAGAAGACATCGGCGTGGCTGTGAGGCTCCCATGCTGGTTTTCGGGACTGGGCTGGGCAGTGCTACAGCATCGGCTGTGTGGGTGACAAGAGCCTGTGTGAGGAGCCCCGTGCATGCTGACCTCACTGCACTCAGTCACACGTCTCATCACAGCCCGTGTGTTCGTCGCCCGCGGCTGCGCCATTTGGGAGAACCATGCAGCAGTTACAGACTTGTGTTTTAACTCACTGGGGGCTCACGGGGTCAAGCACACGTGTGCGTGTATTTACTGCTTGCTTTATGCTACTGCGGGTCAAGCACAGGGTGCTCTTCCATGGAGCGACATCCCCAGACCTTTTTCTTTTTGAAAATTTTGAGACAATCTCACTAAGTTCTGCAGGCAGGATTTGAACCTATAATCCTCCTGCCTCCGCCTCCCTGAGTTCTGGGGTACAGACCTGGGCTACTGTGCCTGGCTCCAGCTCTTTTTATTTAATTATTAAACATGGATTTAATTTCTTTCTTTTTTTTTTTTTTTTTGTACCAGGGATCGAATTTGAGTCCTTGCATTTGTGAGGCAGGTGGCGGCACCACTGAGCTAAATCCCTGCCCCAACATGGGTTTAATTTCATAATTTAACAAGTTAAAATAGTTTCTGGTAGCTATAGGATAGCAATGCACAGTGTATCCAATGGTTTTTGCACATGATGTTGTTGTAATCACGAATACAACATCCTGATGCTAGAAATGGGAAGGTTGTTGATTGATTCATCTTTGAAAGTGTACAGTTGCGACCAGACGTTTATTCAGAGAAAAGTGACCGTGTCTCTTTCCTGGGCTTTTATGAACAGACCTTCCCAAGGAAAACACCCCTCGCTTCAGAGCCGCCCCATTTCTGCCCCCTCTTTGGCAGCTCAGACGTTTGGAACAACCATTTCCAAGGGCAAAGGGCAAAGAGGGTGAGATGGGATCGGGATTCTGATGAGCGCCTGGAAACTCACCAAGAGCTGCAACCACTTCTATGGCACCAGCCCCTGTGTGTTAGTTTCATACAAACAAGTTGGAATACCCCACTAGTGTTGTGTTGCTCTTATTTCTTTTTTTTTTGGTACCGGGAATCAAACTCAGGTCCTTGTGCTTTTGAAGCAGGCAGTAGAACCACTGAGCTAAATCCCGGCCATAGTGTTGTGTTGCTTTCTTTTAAAAAATCTTATCATAGGGCCGGGGATTTAGCTCAGTGGTTCCGCCGCCTGCCCTGCAAGCACAAGGACCCGAGTTCGATCCCCGGTACCAAAAAAAACACAACCTTATCATAAAAAAGTAATAAAAGAAGCTTTGTTCTTATATACATTAACTATATTGTATATCATATACTTTCTATATGGCCTACGACAGTTCCCCCTTCCTCAGTGTGGTGCACACAGGCCATGCGGGGCTACTGCACACCCGGGTCCCAAACACTGCTGCTCAATCGAAACATGACAGCCACGTGTGTGCAAACCTCTCTGGGAGGTGTTAGCTCTGCACCAACTCCCCATGGCCAGCGTTGCCATTACATACTGCAATCAGGCGCTAATAAAAATTTAAAATAAAAAAATAAACAGAAACAGGTGGAATTTATTCTGACAATGTATTTAGTCTCATATATCACAAATCTAATTTCAATGTTATCAATATAAAAATTTACCGATGAGCTACTGTACGTTCTTTTTTTTTTTGCCACGTTTACTTTATTTATTTTTATGTTTTTGGTACTGGAGATCAAACTCTGGTCCTTGCGCTTGCGGAGCAGGCGGCAGAACCACTGAGCTAAATCCCCGGCCCTGCTGTACATTCTTTTTGTCATCTGAGTCTTTGGAAGCTGGGGTGTATTACACACTCCCATGTGCCTCAGTTCCTGCCAAGCCACAAACAAGCCTTCAGACTCGAGCACCTGGAGCCCTTGGGTGCTGCTGAGATGCACACGTTGGTTGTCCCCACTCACCCATGTGGGGTTTGGTTGGGCCCAAGATGCATCTTCCTAACAGCCCCCCGTAGCGCTGAACTAAAGGTCTGAGGGTCACTGGGAGAGCTACTTGTGGAGAAGCTGGAGCAGGAAGAAAAGGGGGAAAAGCAACTGAGCACTGAGGGATAAGACCCTGTGGCTACTGAGTCACACACTGAGTTGGAACCCATGTTATTTCCCATGGAGATGAATTCAGAGCCCTCTCCCTGGCATCAGGTGGAGCCACATACTAGAGGGACTAAAAAATATGGTGTTTAAAATTTTTTAAATGTATTGCAATAAAAGATGCATTGCCATCACCTTCATCAAAATACCCCCACGTACTTTTAACATGCTCATCCCATCACTCTGAACTTTCTGGAGCAGCTCTGGAGTCCTCTCCTGAGTGTCTTTAGTTGTGCTGTCCTGGCTGCCCTCATGTCCTGAACTGACTCAAAATGTTTATCTTTTGTGTTCATGTTGACTTTGGGGGAGATTCAGGAGGGCCATGGTACCAGATCTGGCAAATCAGGTGGACCAGGACACATTGTGATGTTTTTTGGGGCCTGCCTTTCCATTGGATGGCACTCAGTGGTAGTATTCACTTTTTTTTTTTTTTTTTGGAACTGGGGATCGAACTCAGGTCCTTGGGCTTGTGCAGCAGGTGGTGAAACCACCGAGCTAAATCCCTGGCCCAAAATTTTAAGATGGAATCTTTTTTTTTTTTGGTGCCGGTGATTGAACTCAGGCCCTTGCGCTTGCACAGCACGCAGGGAAACCACTGAGCTAAATCCCCGGCCAGCATTCACTTATTTTTGATCACACCTCATAAAGATACTCACAGAGAGGACTGAGAGAACTGCTTCAGAAACTGGCAAGAAGATGGGATAAGTGTGTTCTGAGTGAGGAGGAGAATTTTGAGGGGATTAATGGCAATATGTCTTTCACTGTGATGTTTCTTTAAAAATTTAAACATACATTTTTTTTTAATCGCCCCTTGTATATCTTCAATTGGTTTTTTTAGACAAGGTCTCACTCCTAACCCAGGCTGGCCTTGAACCTTCACTGATTCTCCTGCCTCAGCCTCCTGAATACTGGGATTACAGGCCTGTGCCACCACACTTGTTTCAATTTTCAAAAATAAGTGCTTTATTGGAACTCAAAGGTTTACTTAAGAGAATAGTAAAATCCTATTTTATCATTTAAGATATTAATGGAGGATAGACTGACTCTTAAAAATGAAAACAATGTTTTTATTACAAAAGAAAAATATTTAAGTATCTGTAAAGTATTTAAATGCCTTCATTAATGTATCTGAACAATACTGCATTACACATTGTCTTGCAGAGTAGAAAACTACAAGCTACATTCTGCAGAAACTTTTTTGGGGGGGGGAATGGGTATAAACTGTACCTAGTTCTAACAAAAAATGCTCTTAAAATTTGTTTAAAATGCACTAGTAAATTCTGATTCACTTAAATATTCTCAAATAGCAGTTGGAAAAAGTTTGTACTTGGCACCATCTTTGTGAATTAGATCATTATTACTGAAATGTAATTAATATTATTACATAAAATGCCTTTCATTTTGTTCATATTTAGAAACATTTAATAAATGTAAAACGGTCACCATCCCCTCAAAAAACGATGAAGGCAGAGAACATAAAAAGACAAGTATTTGAGTATTCCCAACTTTCTCATTTTAACTGTGTAAGACTGAAACCAACCTATCCAACCTTCGTACACATGGTCAAAATTAGATCTTCAAAAAAGTGTAAGAGCTGACAGAACTAACTACATACTAAATACCTGCATGCTACCAAACTGTCTCCTTTGCTAATGTATTCACTTGAGTTTAACAGTTAAATTTTCCTATAATGCTTATTTCTTAAAATACACCATACTAATATTGGACAAGGAAGAAAGCAGACAGTAGTGATGGTTGTACAACATCGTGAATATATCTCATGCTACTGAATCGTACACTTTTGCCTTTAAAAAAATCATGGGGTCGCACAATTTTCAAGATCCTTCTGGGGGACTGCGGGGCGGGAAAAGGACGCAGGGCTCTGCGCAAGGGAGGAGCGCGGCTGGCAGAGTCACCTGCAGCCCGCGACACGACGCAGGGACCAGAAGTAGAAAGGTAGAAGCCGGAAGCAGCCATGGGACTCATGGCATGGAGCTCGTCCACCTGCGCCAGGTTCTGCGAGTGTCTCGCGCGCCGCTGTTTCTCTAGCTTGGTTTACTAACAGTGCGCACTCTACAGTGTCTACCTCAGCACCTTTGGGGTTTCAACACATTTTGTGTCCCTTTATGAGCATCACCCAGGAGGCGCGTTTCTGGGACCTCGTATCCCGTGAGTCCACCGACAGGGCCGCCGCTCGGCCCACAGCGGCCCCTCTCGGGAGGGAAGGTGGCGGACTTTGCTCAGGGGTCACACTGGCCCGGACACGTCACCCGGACCCCGGGGCGCGGGCACTTTCCTCAGACTGGTCCACAGCCGCTTCGCGGGGGAACGCCACTATGCACGTGTCTTGGGCGGCCCAGGGCATTTTGGGAACTAAGGGAGGGACCGAGGGACAAAATTGCCCTTGTTGGCTCTGGGCGCGCAGGGAGGTTGTCATTCAGTTGCCCCTTGACCTCTCAAAACTGCCAAGCTCCCGCACCACTTTCACTCGACAGACTGCGCTCTCCGCTGCGCTATTAGCCAATCATCGGTCAGTTCTTGATCCGCGCGGGCCAATCCCCACCGCCCTCACTTTGAGCGGGAAAGACTCAGATGCTGCCGGAGAGCGAGGCCGGCCACCCGCTGCTGCAGAGGCCTGTCTCCGAGGGTAACAGCCCCCAGGGCGGGTGCCCATTGGCCGGGCTGCGGGCCAATGAGGGGCGCGCGGCCGGGGGCGGGCCCGGCGGGGCGTGGCGTGGCGTGGCGGGCGGAGGGTCGCGTGTGGGTCGCGAGCCAGGCCCTAACGGCCTCTCCCGACGGCTTCCGTCCGCTGCCCGCTCGCCCGCCCGCCGCGGCCCACAGAGCCGGTTCCGGCCGCCGCCGGGAGGGGCACGGGGTGCACGGCAGGCCGGGCCTCGACGCACGCGTCCGCCAGCCGGCGGGCTGGGCCGCCATGGAGGTGAGCGCCGGGCACCTCCGGCCGGCTGAGGGGGCTGAGGGGGCTGAGGTGCGGGGTGCGGACGGTGAACCGAGACCGGCTGTGGGGACAGCGGGGCGGCCGGGGACCTGGCCTGGAAAGGGGAGGAGGGAGGAAGCGACGAGGACGGAGGGGACCTGAGGAGGACGGGAGGGCCCGACGGGGGAAGAAGGGAAGGGAAGGGAAGGAGAGCAAGAAGGAGGGTCAGGCCGGGGATTTGGCGCGGTGGCGCTGCACCTGGCTCTCAGGCGTAAGGTCCTGGTTCAATCCCGACCCCAACCCCGATTCCAAAACAGAGAAGGGCTAGGAAGACGCGAGGGGCGAGGCGGGAGGACGAGGCCGGAGCGGACCGGGCGGGAGGCTGGAGAAGCCCAGAGCGCCCTGGGGTGTGGCCGACTACTGCTGGGCGTGCCGGGAGGGGCAGGCCCGTGGGTGACACCCCCTCGCCAGACCCCGGACTGGGGGACCCGGGGTCCACTTGAAGTCTGGACACTGTGAACACAGTCCACACAGGTCTGACCACAAGTTAAGGAGCAAGTTTCCATCTTCCCTCTGTATCTTATGTCAGAAATCTGGTTTTCTTGTTTGTTTTGGTACTGGGGATTGAACCTGGGGCCTTGGCACTGAGCTACAACCCAGGGTTTCACTAAGTTGCCCAGGCTGACTCAAACTTGGAATGCTCCTGCCTCAGCCTCCCAGAGTGCTAGAATGACAAGCGCGCACCACCATGCCCAGCTCAGAAATGTTCTTTAAAGAGGCCAGGTCATACTTATTTATTAAGAACAAATTTTCTTTTAATTTTAAACATAGTTTGTTAATTTTAAGGGAAATTTTTCCTTATTCCTTTGTTCTCCAGCTTTAACAATGTCTTTAATTACTTGCTACCAAGACATTTCCTTTTGTTAAGCATATTAAGAAAACGAGGCCGGTTGTGGTGGCTCACATCTGTAATCCCAGCACCCGGGAGGCTGAGGCAGGAGGATCTCTGTGTTTGGGGCCAGCCTGAACTGCATAGTGAAACCCTGTCTCAAAAAGACCAAAAAGAAAGAAAGAAAAAAGAAAAGAAAACGTAGGGCAATGTAAGTCATTTCATTTGAAATAATTTAACCAGGACATCAGTGCTGATATTGTTATAATTTATGGGGTTTTTGTTTTTGTTTTGTTTTGTTTTGTTTCCAGTACTGGGGGTTGAATTCAGGATTTTGCTCTTGCAAGCCAGGTGCAGTGCCACTGAGCTAAATCCCTGGCCCCTGTGTATTAAAAAAATACTTTGAACTATAACAATATATTTAAATACATTAATACATATAACCCACACTACAACCTTGCATAGTATTATGTCCACTGTACAGACTGAAAAACTAAGGCTCAGAGATCTCGGTCTGTGCCCTAAATGATAAATCCTAAATGGAATTCAGGTCTTTTCACTCCCAAGACCAGACTTCTACTGTTTGTGGTGTTTATGTTTCTACTAAATGTATACTACTATTTCTATTAAATGTTTCTACTAAAGTTTATTTGGATTTAATTTCAGGTAATTGTTTAAAGTATATCAGTGCTGGGCTGGGGATTTAGCTCAATGGTTCTGTCACCTGCCTTGAAAGCGCAAGGTCCCAAGTTCAATCCCTGGTACCAAAAAAAAAAAAAAAGTATATCAGTGCTATAAGTAATGCATTTTGGAGTTATCCTAATGTACATATTTCCAGGCTTTCGATTTTTACTGAAAAAGATCTAGATATTACAAGTGTAATTATATTTAAATTCACCATATTCAGTTGATTTATTATCCAAGAATACAACTTTAAATTAGTTCTTTAAAGGGGTTTAACTTTAATTTTTCTGACATTTATACACCTTGACTTTTATATACCTCTTTAAGTGGTACTGGGGCTTGAAACCAGGGCCTTGCACATGCTATACGCATGCTTTACCTGAGCTCCGGCCCCAGCCCCAGAACTTCCCTCACAATGGAAAATGTACTTGAAAGAATAAAATGTATTTAGTTCCAGACATTGTTTATCTCATTTACTATTATACAATCTGAAAATATCCCTTTCGTCTAAGCATTTATTTCACACATCCTTTCTTTCTTTCTTTCTTTCTTTTTTTTTTTTTTTTTTTTGTTACCAGGGATCAAACTCTGGTCCTTGCACCTGTGGGACAGGTGGTGGAACCACTGAGCTAAATTCTTGGCCCTAAGCATTTATTTCAAGAAGAATGTATTCATGCCACTTTGGATACCCCTATAAAGAGTTTTAATAGGCCTCTGATAAAAACTATGGTTATAAAATGCCAGGCATGGTGGTGCATGCCTCTTTTTTTTTTTTTTTTTTGGTACCGGAGATCAAACTCGGGACCTTGCGCTTGCAAGGCAGGCGCCGGAACCACTGAGCTAAATCCCCGGCTAGACCTTACACTTTCAAGGCAGGTGCCGGAACCACTGAACTAAATCCCTGGCCCAGCATGCCTCTTTAATCCCAGCACTCAGAAGGCTGAGGCAGGAGGATTGCCATGAGTTCAAAGCCAGCCTGAACTACATAGTGAAACCCTGTCTCAAAAAAACCCCCAAAAACTATAGTTATGAAAAGTTCTGAAAATAAAAGCCTTTGCAAAAGTTGCTGCTAACTAACAGAAATTCTGGAAAAGTAGATTTTCGTGGCACTCAGCATAATCCCTTCTGTGCCTCTATTTCTTTTTTCTTTTTTTTTTTTTTTTTTTTGGTACTAGGGATCAAACTTGGATCCTTACTCTTGCGCAGCAGGCGGCAAAACCACTGAGCTGAATCTCCAACCCTGTGCCTCTATTTCTTAAGAACAGCATGCTTTCTGCAGAAAAATTATACTATGTAGGTATTAAATAATAATTATAACAATTTAAATAAACACTTGTAAAATATTTTGAGATTATTGAAGTTGGGAGACTAGAAAGTATGTCTTGGGCCGGGGATTTAGCTCAGTGGTTCCACCGCCTGCCTCACAAGTGCAAGGACCTGAGTTCCATCGCCGGTACCAAAAAAAAGATTTCTGCAATAGAAAGTATGTCTTAATTTTCATATTGTATTAATATAAACTCAGTATTACATATTTATTGCTTTTTAACTTTTTCCTTTTTCTTTTTTTGCTTGTTTTTTGAGAAAGGTCTCACTATTAGTCCAGGCCAGCCCTGAATTCACTGTATATTCAGGGTGGCCTTAAATTTGTGGTAATCCTTCTGCCTCAGCCCCAGGAATGCTTAGAGGTGTACACCCCACACCCTACTAATAATATTGTCTAGTGAGAACAAACATTTAGAAATACTTTGATCTAAACATGGGTTTTCTCCTTATATAAATTTTATTTTTTGGTACCGGGGATCAAACTTAGAACCTTGAACTTGAGAGGCAGGCGCAATGCCACTTCTTTATATAAATTTTTACCAAGAAAATAAAAGCATTTAAAAAATATTTTTAGCCAAGTGCAGTGATATGTATCTGTAGTCCTGGCTACTTGGGAGGCTGAGGCAGGAGGATCATTTGAACCAGGGGTTGGAGGTTGCTTGGGCAGTAGAGTGAGACTGTCCTAAAAAAAACCCTGGGTTTTGTGGTGCACACCTATAATCCCATCAATTCTGGAGGCTGAGGCAGGAACAACCAACACCAGTGTGGCGAACTTAACACTCAGTGGTAGAGAACACCTGGGTTTGATCCCCAATACCTTATAAAACACACACACATATTTTAGGTGCTGGGGCTATAACTTAGTGGTAGGGTGCAGGTGAGGGATGGTGTGTGGGGTTCAATCCCTAGCACTAATAGCACACCCCAAAAAACAACATATACCCAAAATTACATCTCTTCTGTAGTTATACGAAAATATTTCTATTGTGCTTATGTTAGGATAATAGTTATAAAAATCTCAAGTTTTAATAGGTCCTTTTTGAGAGCTAAAAATTGTAAATGTGTACTTTCAGAGTTCTTTAAGGAAACATTTTTTAGAATAAATGGCTAAATTTGTTTAATCTCTTTCTGTTTGTTAAATTCCTTCTATTTTATATTACTTTCATGGCATCTCAGAGCTATTTAGAAGGAGGAAGGTTGTAATTCATTAACATCTTAAATTCCAAACTTTTTGGGCTGGGGATTTAGCTCAGTGGCACTGACCGTGTCTGCCTCACAAGTGCAAGGTCCTGAGTTCGATCCCTGGTAGCAGGAAAAAAAAAATTCAAACTTTTTATCATTATTCAATGCACCAGAAAAAAAGGAAAATGAGTTTGTAGAGTATTTTTCTTCTAATTGTAGCAACATCTATAAAACTTCTGAAGAGAGCATAATATTTTATATATCAATTCAAATTTAAAGTATCCCTTGGACATAGAAAATGAGATGAAAATTAAGGACCCTGTTTTTTTTTTGTTTTTTTTTTAAACGGCTTTGGCTAGGAGTAAGAAGCTCTTGAGTTTTGGTTTAATTTTTATCATGTATTGGCTGAGTAACTTGTAATCTGTTTCCTACTTTTTAAAATAGAGATATAACCAGGCTGGGGATTTAGCTCAGTGGGGCCACTGCCTGCCCTACAAGGTCCCGAGTTCAGTCCCTGGTACCACTAAATAAATAAATAAATAAATAAAATAGAGATATAACCACTGTTACAGTGTTGACTAAATACAATAATGTTAAGTGGAATTTCTTTGAAAATTGAAAAATTCTATATAAATGTACTTTTTAAAGATTCAAGCTGGGGATTTAGCTCAGTGGTGCCATGGCTGCTTTGCAAGCTCAAGGTCCTGAGTTTGATCCTCAGTACCAAAAATCCCAAAAAAAACCCCAAGGATTGGAAGCATTAATATGATTTATTTCAAATAACAGTGCTAGTATCCAAGTATTCACATATTACTCATCTGTTGAAAATATTAAAACTGCAATAATTGTAGTTATTTTTTAAATTTGTTTTTGTTCAGACGGGATCTCACTGTGCAATTCAGGCTGGCCTTGAACTCACTATGTAGTGCAGGCTGTCCTGGAACTAATGGTTACCCTGCCCTTTGAGTCCTCCAGCCTCCTCCTCCTCCCTGTGAAGTTCTCTTCCTCTCTGTCAGATCCTCCTCTCTCACTATCCGATCCTCTTCCTCTTCCTCCTATTCCTCCTCCTCAGGTCTTCCTCCCCACTTCTTTTCCTTGGCTAATTGCAGATATTTTAGACCAGGGATCAGCAACAAGGGGCTAGATCTGACCAGTGCCTGTTTTGTGAGTAAAGTTTTATTGAAACACAGGCATGCCCATTTGTTTATATATTCTCTGTAGTTATTTTGGTGCCAGAAAAAACATAGTTGACAAATTTCAACAGACCTCATTGTCTAGCAAAGCCTGGATATTTACTCTCTGGCCTTTACAGAAAAGTTGGCCAATTCCTTGTATAAAGTAAGCTCAAGTAGCTTAAATCTGGATTTGAGTGTAATTGTCCCAACCCTTTATACCTATGCTATTTCCTCTGATTTCATATTATTTTGTTAATCTATTGTAAATGGAAGCCTTAATGTGTTTAATATACAAACATGTTCTTAAAATTTCAGAACGAAGATAATGTAGATCTAAGACAGACCTACACTCCACTTTCTTCACCAACAGAATATGCGCGTTCTATAGATTCTTCACTTTTCTATGCACCATGGTCTACTTATGGAGATGATATTAAACAACCTTCTAATTCTCAGATCAATATAAAGAACAGGTAAATGAATACATTAGATTTCTTAGGCAAAATGAGGTATCATTAAGTTTAATTACATAGGAACCAAAGTGTAAAGTACTCAATTCCCTAGTTAAGCATTTTAATGTTGTGGCGTTATACTTTTGTTTATCAAACTTTTTGGAAAGCCTAAACTAGACAGTTATTTGTGTATAATTTTTAGTTTAGTCCTTAACTCATTAGAGAGAATGTTTAGTACATAAATCTTAAGTTCTTCCAAGTATTTTATCTTTTTCAGTACTGAGATCAAATTCAGGACTTTGTGCTTGCCAGGCAGGCATGGCACCACTGAGCTACATCCCCAGCCCATAGAATTAAAATTTTTAGATCTATTTTATCTTTTTTTTGTATCTGTGTGTGGTATAAGGAAGTGAATTCAGGACCTCATACATGCTGGGTAAGTGCAATACCACTGAGCTACATCCTCAGCCGTAGATCTGTTTTGTTTTGTTTTTTAATCCAATTCTTTTTTGTTTTTTGTTTTATGAGACAGGGTCTTGCTATGCAGTTGAGGCTGGGCTTGAACTCACAGCGATCCTCTTGCCTCAGCCTTCTGAATGCTAGGATCACAGGCGTGCACCACTGTGCCTGGCCTCTTTTATTTATTTATTTATTTATTTATTTATTTATTTATTTATTTATTTATTTTGGTACCGGGGATCAAACTCTGGACCTTCCGCTTGCACGGTAAGCAGTGGAACCACTGAGCTAAATCCCCAGCCCTGTTTTTTATTTTTTTGAGACAGGGTCTTGCTGTGTAGTTCAGGCTGGCCTTAAACTCACTGTGTAACCCAGGCTAGCCTCAAACTCACAGTGATCCTCCTGTCTCAGCCTCCCAAATGCTGGGATTACAGATGTGTACCACCATGCCCAGCTTTTTAATCCAATTCAAAGTTTTCAGTAATTTAAAATACTTTTCTATTCTACAGATAATAAGGGACAATTGTATATTAGATGCTTTCCTACTAAAGACACTAGAATTAACATGCCAAGTCTTTTTTTTTTGTTTGGTACCAGGGATCGAACTTGGGACCTTGCACTTTCGAGGCAGGCACCAGAACCACTGAGCTAAATCCCTGGCCCAACATGGCAAATATTATACCTGTGCATATAATTTTAAAGTTTAATTTAAAATACAAGTTTCTCTGTATCTCAAATAATCATTCAACCATTCAGGAGATAATAGTTGATTACTAATGCTTACCCTTCTGGTACCATGATCGATTAAACATTTGAGTATTAGGCAGATATAACATTTTTATTTTAGAACATCTCAACACTTTGGAATGTTGGAAATAACATATTTAAAAGGCAAGAAATTATATTTAAAACAAAACATTATTTCTGGGAAGGAATTATCAAAACCATGAGAAGTAAAAAACAGCAATTTTCTATGTGCTTGTGGTTTTTTTCATTTTATATTATTTATTTAGACAGTATTAGTTGGTGGGATCTCAAAGACATGGGACTCCAACCAGTCACTACTTTGACAAGGATTTAGGGATGGCCCTTCAGTTTATTGTATTTTAAGGACAACTGCAAAATTGCCATGGAAACTAGAATGACCATATGACAATTCACTTTGATATGTGATATTTAATGTAAGGAGTCTCAATACAGCAGCAGGTTCATGTGGTCTTTAAATCACAAGTGAAGAAGCTGAGCAGGTGATGATGGAATAAATGAAGTATCATAGAACCAGGCATGCTTTTAGGAGTAGCTATGGTACAGCATGTCTGTGACATTGTAGCTCTTTGTTTTTTTTTTTTTTCAGTACTGGGGATTGAACTCAGAACCTCACACTTGTAAGGCAGGTGGCTGCACCACTGAGCTATATCCCTGGCCCACTCATATGTTTGTTGGTCACCTGAAATGAACAGCATGTGTTAGGGAGGAATAAGAGATAAACATACATTATGAAGTAGACATAGGAGAGAATTTATATAGTATAGGTATCATGCCAGAGTAGTAAGTATTCTTGAGTTCTTGTTCCCTCTTTTTTTGGGGGGGGGGGACCAGGGATTGAACTCAGGTCCTTGCGCTTGCGCAGCAGGCGGCGAAACCACTGAGCTAAATCCCTGGCCCTTGTTCCCTCTTCTTTTGAAATGATGGTATAAAGTTAATCCAGGTACATTAGAAAAAAACAATAGTAGAATATGTCTGGAAGGAAAAATCAATATATTGTGTTTAACATGAATAAAATAGTTTACATGTTACTTATTTCTTTTCAGGATTCAAACTGAAAGAAATGACTATGGCAGCGAAACAGATTTATATGGACTTGTGTCTAACATTTTGGAAGAACAAGATAAGTCACAGCCATATTTTCCTGAAGGGTTAGTATGGTGTATAAACTTTATAATGTATAATAAGATTTTAAATTCACATACATTAGGTTACCCTGTTTATTAACTTTTATTTTTAGTTAATAGTGGATCATCCGACAGTAGACATATTAATTCAGGTATTTGTTGCTAGGAGCCTTGATTTTACTGAAGTAATTGTCATAGAATTGAAAGTTCAGTCTAAGGTTTTATTTGCTTAAGAACTTTCATTTGAAAATTTATTCTTGTATAATTCAGAGCTATTTCCCTTGAGTTCATAAGCTAAAGTTTGACTTAAAGAGTATAAATTCCGAGGAGCTTTTATATATAGATCCCAAAGAATAAAACTCATTAGTCATTACAGAAACATATGTGGATTTTATTCATGTGGTAGAAGTTTTTAAAATATTGTTTTAATTGGGTGTGGAAGACATATTACCAAAACACCCTATTTCATAAACAGGAAAATATGCTGCACACATCTAACTAATTTCAAACATACTTTAAGCAAAACAGATCTTTTTTCATTAAAAAAAATTGTGGTCAACAGTACTTTTGTATTATATAATAATCTAATCAAAGGAAAAAAGCCTTTCTTATTCTCTACTTATGATAAACAATTCCTCTAAGACCCCCAAGTTACCAGCCTGAAGGCCTTACTTAATGCCTCTTGGCAAAGTACAGTAAAGACCTAATAAGATTAAAATGAACACAGTTAAGGGTTGCTTAATGATGGGGATAGGTTCTGAGAAGTGCATTAATAATTGATTTTGTTGTCATTCAAATAAACATTATCGATGTGTACTTATACAAATGCAGATGCTGTAAGTTAGTCACTCAACATGGCCTCTTGGTGCAATCAGTGTAACACAGCATGATTTTACATTAGCTTTAAAAACAAGACTAGCCGGGGATTTAGCTCAGTGGTTCCGGTGCCTGCCTTGCAAGCGCAAGGTCCTGAGTCCTATCCTGGGTACAAAAAACAAACAAACAAACAAAAACAAGCCTAAAAGCTAGGTGCAGTGGTGCGCACCTTTAATCTTAGCACCCTGGGAGATTGAAGTAGGAAGATCACAAGTTCAAGCCCAGCCAGGGGAATTTAAAAACTTATCACAAAATAAAAACATAAGGGCTGGGAATGTAGCTTAGTGTGAAAGCACTGGGTTCAATCCCTAGTATTTCAAAAAACAAAACAAGTATAGTATAGTAAAAACACAAACCAGTAAATATTCTTTACCATTATATAATACTACATACTGTACATAATTATGTTATACTTTTATATGACTATGCAATCATATATGTAGTAGGTTTGTTTACACCAGCACCATAAACACCTAGGAGTGCCTTGGGCTACAGTGATATTATGATGATTATGTGTCATGAGCAACAGGAAATTTTCAGCTTCATTACAGTTGTATATGTGGTCTGTTGTTAATTGAAAAGTCTTTATCAGTGCATGACTGTTTATAGAGCATAAAGCACATTTCATATGATAGAAAATTATTTGGAGATGGGCCAGGGATTTAGCTCAGTGCTTCTGTCGCCTGCCTCTCAAGCGCAAGGTCTCGAGTTTGATCCCTGGTACCAAAAAAAAAAATTATTTGGGGTTGAAGGTAGCTTGTAAGTCAAGATTTGAAAATAGGGGGGGGGCAAAATAAATGTTTTTAAAAATCTTTCCTATCTTTTTCACTGGGGAAATAATGTCTTTAAAACTTAAGTTGTAATTAAATATATTTACTTGTTCTAGGACCTGCTCCTCTAATTTAAAGTCAGTTTGGCCAATGAATACAAGCAGATTTGTAGATCACCATGACCTCTTAACAGAAACCAAAAGGCCAGTAGACACAGCTGTCTCTCAACAATCTTTTTATAGTGGTGAATCCGTGTCAGCAATGGAAAAACAATACCTTCATAGTAATAATCTCCTACCACAACAAAAAATAGATGAACTCTATCATGGATTTACTGGTTTAGACCTGGATGAACAATGGATGTATCCCGCACGAAGTGATCATTCTAACTGTTATAATAGTCAGACAAATGATACAGCTAAGGCAACATTCCAAGAATATCCATTTATCAAGAACTGTCTTGCACCACAAACTTGTCTGTCTGATATTGTGAAAGAATCAGGAATTGATATTTACCCTTATGGAAGAGAGAAAATATTTGCTAAAGGTCTTGAAGCACCATTACAACAAAAAAGGGCAGAGATGTTTCCTTCCCAATTTAATAGATACAGTGAAAATGCAGATTATTGTAGGTACCCAGAATATGCTCATCCTAATAAAGCTAAGCTTAATAAATGTTCAAATTTTAGTGTCCAAGATGGTAAAAAATTAGCCAATGGCACATCTGAAACACCAACTGTAGAAGCAGATGGCTATACAAAGTTATTTCAGGTTAAATCAGCAAGTCAGAAAAAAATGGAGGACACACTATCTGACCAGCAAAATTTCACATTTCCCAAAACCGCACTACATCTGGCAGAAAAACAGTTTGGAAAGGAAACAGGATTCGCTGCTGATTTTGCCTTAAAGTCAGAATATGGACTAAAACCTCACACAGCTTGCCCAGCTAATAATGATTTTGCTAATGTCACAGAAAAGCAACAATTTGCTAAAGCTGAGATCCCAAATTCTGAGTACTTTAAATCAGTGAATTTATTATCAAACTCAGCAACATCCGCAGGAGGTATCAATTTAAACAGACCAACTTGGATGAATGTTCAAACAAAGAATAACACTGCTATTCCTTATCGAAATCAAGGTAACTTGATGAAATTAAATTGTCATTTAAGTGCAGCTCCAAAAGGTTCTAACCATTATTCAGATTTCCCCCAGCTACCCTCCACAAATTTAACCCCAAATAGCAATTTATTTCAGAAGTATTGCCACGAAAACCCTTCAGTGTTTTCTAGTTTTGATTTCAATTACAATGGTGCAGAAAGAATTCAATCTGTCAATCACATGGAAGGACTGACAAAGACTGGAGAAGAAAATCTCTTTGAATTGGTTATGGATAAAAAAGTGAAGCAGCCAAATGGATTTTCTGATAACCATTCAGTTCAGCAGTATGGGATCACTGAAAATGTAAACAAACATAATTTTCAAGCCAAGCCCCAGAGCGGACATTATGATCCCGAGGAAGGTCCAAAGCATTTAGATGGCTTATCTCCAAATACATACCAAGAGCTGTTGGAGGTACAGGGGCATTTTAATAGCCACAGACAAGGAAGTGGAGACAACAATATTAATAGCCATGTGAATCACACACAGGCCTCATGCTTCTCTAATAATTGTATGATGGGAGATTTAAGGCATAATCAGGGTTTTCAACAACTTAGTTCAAATGGGTTTCCCCTAAGATCCACTCACCCATTTGGCCATTCAGTTCTTCCACTGTTGGATTCCTATGATTTGTTTTCTTATGATGACTTAAGCCACTTATATCCTTATTTTAATGATATGATGTGTTGTGATAGTTCCTTTTCTGGTTTGATGCCAACTTTTGGATTTCAAAGACCAATTAAAACCCGTAGTGGACCAGCCAGCGAACTCCATATTCGTCTAGAAGAGTGCTATGAACAGTGGAGAGCACTAGAAAAGGAGAGGAAAAAGGTAACCCAGTTGTCCATTTAGGAATAACGTAATCTGTTCCCTCTGCCTGTCTCCACTTTGCTTACCTTAGTGCAGCTTAAGACTGCCTTATTCTATACTGAATTATTTTATGTATACAGTTTTTAAGTTCATGACTATGAAGAATTAGCTAGGTTAAAGACTAAAACTTGAGTTTTAAAATAATTGTTGCCAATATTCTAATTTTTAAAGTATGTCTATGGAGTAGATTTTTTTTCTTTATTGGGTTAAAAGTTTATTTCTTTGAGGGGCTGGGGATTTAGCTCAGTGGTTTCTCTGTCTGCTGCACAAGAGCAAGGACCTGCGTTTGATCCCCGGTACAAAAAAAAAAAGTTTATTTCTTTGAAAACTATAGTAGTATTTGAGTCTTTTATATGTATTAAGTATAACAAAAATACTGTCACCCTATGATTTATATTTGTTGCCCTTTGATACCAAACCAGAATTTTTTTAAAGGGGTAATTTTATTTCTTAGGACTATGAAAAATATTAATCATAGTTGAATTATATTTAGAAAATTCAGCATCTAAAAGTTACATGATTTTTTACAGACTGAATTAGCTCTTGCCAAGAATTATCCAGGAAAAAAAGTATCCAGTACTAACAATACTCCAATTCCAAGGCTGACCTCCAACCCATCTAGAGTTGATCGCTTAATTGTGGATGAACTTCGGGAACAAGCGAGAGTAAGCTGTAAAAAGATCCAACAGTGGATTTTTAAATTACTTGATAAAATACTAAAACATTAAAGCATGTTAGCATTCTGAAGGATTTTTTTTTATTTTTTTGCATAAATTCTTTTATTGTTACATTTTAGGTATATAATACGTTTACATTTATCATTGGGTGCTTTTACCTGTACATGATGTATCTTGGTTCTTATTTTTTCCCCATTACCTGTGCGCCCTTCACCCCTCCACCCTTCCCTATTTATATAGGCTTCGTTTCCATTTTTTTTTCTTTTCTCATAATTTTTCCTTTCCATTCTTTTCTTTCCCCATCTCCTCCCAACACCCCTACCTCTTTGGACCTTTTCCTGTTTCAAAGTATCAATTATTCATTATTAATCCTTTTAATCCTTATTTACATTTTCAGTTTCTCACACTAGAGAAACTATTTGGTATTTACACGAGTGTTCTATTTATTTCACTTAAGAGTATGGCCTCAATATGCATCCATTTAGCTATAAATGACTCTAGCTTCTCATTCTTTATGGCTGAGTAGTACTCCATTTTATAAAAAAACCCCACATCTTCTTGGGTACCAGAGATCGAACTCGGGTCCTTGT